TTCATAAACTTCCCCCTTCAGAGGATTTAAAAGTTTCATGATTCTTACACAGAGTGAAGACTTTGTCATCAGATGGAAATATTCTGGATGTTGTGTGAATCATTGTAGACACATTTCCCAAAAGAAATAATAATAATCCATGTCTTTGCTGTCTTTGTTTGCTCAGTATGTTACAAACAGTCTTTCAGTATCGGAACTGGTTCCAAATTCGTAAGAACTGGGGAGTCTTTAAGAAATATGCTTTTTCAGTTCCACTTACTGATTCCCGAATGTGAAGTTTGGAAATGGTATGCTATCCTCCACCATGCCAGTTATGGATTTGTCAACATACATATGCAGCGTTAACTGTACTATACGTACATATTGCATGTTTATTATTATTTTTCTAAACTAATTTTGTCTCACACACTGGGAACCACTAACACCAGAGCTATGACTTCTTCCTATGGAGGGTATGACTGTATGTATCACATTTCATGGCAGACCATCTAATAGGTGTTGAGGCATTTCACTCAAAACCACAAGTATCAGCCTCATAGTGAGGAATATGGACTATACCATGTTTACATTTTATACATATCTGTATTCTTGTCATCAAAATTTTCCTGATTTATTCTGTATTCTTGTCATCAAAATTTTCCTGATTTATTCTGTACATGACATCTATTGCATTTTCGACCATCCTGGGCGAGGGAGCCCTCCTCTGTTGCTCATTCTTAGGTATCTTCCAGTTTTTTGGGGAGTTATTCCCTATTCAAGTTGAGGGTGTCAGGACAGAGGGTGTCGTATACTGTACAGACTGTAAAGGCCCATGAGAAAAATGTACTCCCTGTCCGCTCCCGTGTTAGGATGGTAAGAAAGAAGTATTCAGATTGGGATATATGTGACTTTATTTTATAAGAGTGGTTGGCCTTCCAGCACTTTCTCCTTTACTCTTTTCTGAAACATGTCATGCTGCCCCTCTGACCTTCACACTGTTCATGGTGTTGGTTTTGTAATAACAGCTTGTGTCGGAAAGGCCGCATAAATCACTTCAGAGCTTGTTTTTTCTCTCAGGCCCACAAATGAGTTTATGCTTCGCTGTCTGTCATACATTTTCATAATGATTCCTTGATGTGTCGTTGGAATTACCAGCGTCGTTGTTTTGGGCTCTTGGGGGGAAACTCACCATCTGTCGCCACGTTTCCTTCCTTGTTCTTCTTCTTCTCCGTGTTTGTGGCTGAGCGGAGCCCCATGGAGGATTCCCCGCTGTCGGTTTGACACTCAGTCAGAGGACCATTAACCCGGGCGTTGACTTACGTGAGGCGGTTGCCATGGCAACACGGGTGGTCTCTGAGCAGTGGTGACGGTTGGCGGAGTTGTGTGGGAGCGTGTGCACAGGTGTGTTGTGACAGATGCTGGAGGGTGGAGAGAGAAAACAGAGGTTTGTGCTGCCTGGTTGAGCTCTGCATGCTGTGTGTGTGTGTGTGTGGTTGAGCTTGAATCTCTGATAACGCTGAGTTGATGTTTCCTTCTGCTGCAGCAGACGGTTGGTTTTCACCCCGAAACAAGTTTTATCAACATCAACGATGGTGACGAGAGAGAATACAAACATTGTAATGCTTCCTGTCACAACTGAAAGCACACAGATGCTCTCGGCCTTTTACCAACAACATCCATGTGGATGCAGCTGTGTCTCATTCCAGTTCTGTCCCAACTCAGTATGCATTTATTGATTATAAAAACAAATTTACTGCTGCATTTAAGAAGTTACTGACTTTGTTTTCAGACAACAAACTCTTTTTTTGATCCATCTCTAGTGGACACGTGCTTATAAGAGTCTGGAAACATCTGGAAATTTTAGAGGCAATCCACTCCTCATGGCTTTTATTACAGTTAAATATAGTGTTTTGCACCTAAAATTCAGGCTTATGGTTGCATGTTATATGCTGTCTCATTTGATGACAGTTGAAGTTATTTTAAAGGTCCAGTTGTGTAACAATTAGGCTCTATTGTCAGAAATGGAATATAATTTGCATCCAACCATTACAGTAAATAGTTATTTAACCTAATTTATTATTATAATTTTGAAAACTCAGGTGTTGCAATGGTGTTGATTTTGTTTGGTATTGTGACTATAAAGTGAGTTATATTGCAGTCCACTCAGGGTATGGGATCTGTGTTACTGTGGATCAAGTCTGTAAATGTGTCCTCCTGTCACTAAAGACCCGAAGTTACACTTGAGAGCCTTCACAGCAAACTGCAGACAAAGATAACAACACAGAGAATCAATAGGCTCGTATTGGCTCATAAATACAGCAAGGAGCCTAATGATGCGTTCAGGCTCATCTGTCAAACTGATATGCGGAGAGAGAGAGAGAGAGAGAGAGAGAGAGAGAGAGTCGTGGTGTTTCTCTGCTCTGTTGTTGATCCCGTTTAAATTAAAGACATAAATTATCAGTAAATGATCGTCCAGCTGCTTACATGATAGAGCTCCAACAGTTAAACAATCCACTACTGAAAACGTTTATACAGCTCACAGTTAATGATGAGTTTGGAGGTCCAACTGCAAGAGCCCTCTTAGTTTAGTATTACTGTTAAAATTATTTCCTTGTAATTCCTGATTTTTTTTTTCCAGTGTGTAATGTTTTTTTACTTCTAGTTCATGTCAATTATTTTATTTACTGCTGCTGCAGACAGAACCAGGGCTTTTATTGAAACAGGCTTATATTTGAGGCAGGCCTTTATTTTGTATTTCCCCTTGCTGTATATTTGATGGTTCTCCCAAAGATTCATTGGCGACTTGAAATAGCCCTGTGATTGACTGGAGACCTGTCCAGGGTGTACCACACCTCTTCCCCAATGTCAGCTGGAATAGGCTACATCCCCCTGTGACCTTTACCTACCTAGCAGGTACAGCTAATGGTTGTATATGTTAGTAAGAAGTAGTTAGTAAGAAGTTCTGATTCTACTCATTTCCAGTAGCTCCCACTTAACCATTTTTGTGATCACTGTTAAGCTCCTGTCCTGTCCAATCACTTCAAGCATTATGTTTCACATTAAAAGTGTTCCAGTGGCTCAAAGGGCACAATCTCTCTCCATTTCCTGATAGGCTTTTAATTTGAAAACTCTATGTTGAATTTCATTATCAGTAACCGTGATCGAAAAAACAGCATAGTAAACAGATCCAAACGCATTTGTCACTACGACACAACAGGAAAGTGCAGCCCAATATTCAGCACTTTGACTTTTCTACCAGTCAGCTGGAGAGTAAAAACTCATAACGACAGCTGGTTATGAGCCAAAGTATCAGCCTGAGCAGACAAAATTATCAGCTACAAACACGAGTCACTAGATTTATTCCAGTAAATGAACCGAGCAGAGTCGACCATCTGTTGGTTTAATGAAGGCTGATGGAATTATTACTGCTGAATTCAGTCCTTCAGACCATGATTTAAGTAAATCCTCCTGTTCAGATCATCACATTTTATCTGCATGTATTGAAGTGAGAAGTAGTTTCAGTGTCAGCAGAAAGAAAACAGTTCAATGACAGATATTTGAGTCATGAGACCAAGATCTTTGTACATGATACAACTAAATGAAAAGTTATTTTTTCTGATATATTTATCAAAGTTTCGGGGTGCCCAGATAGCTCACCTGGTAGAGCCTCATTCACCAAGGCCGAGTCCTTGCTGCAATGGCCATGGATTTGAACCCGTCCTGTGGCCCTTTGCTGTGTGTCATTTCCTCTCTCTCCTCCCTTTACTGTCACTACTATCGATTACAGGCAATAAAAAGCCCAATATATATATATATTAAAAATGTATTCTTCACTCTTTCTAAAGTTACTAAAGGTGTTGCTTCTACTCCAGCCAGTTAGGAAGGTGCACCCAGACTTAGCTTTGACATCCCTTAATCAAGTGAAGACGTTTGACTAAAACATTTCATCTGAATCTCACTCTTCATTTACATTTATTAATTCAGTATAATAAAGTATATTAAGTATAGAGTAACACTAGTTGTAACACTAGTAACTTGTTTCCCCTTCAATCATTTCCATTATCTATGAATAAGTTTTCCTGCTGACACAAGATGTCTCCTACTTCACTGTAAAGTCCATTCTCAGTGGATTTGCACTGGTGGCTTCAAGTTTCTACATCACACTGTATAAGTTGCAAACTGAACCATGACTGACTACTGACAAACTATTTGTAATGTCGCAAATCATGATTTCCACTTTTAGCATATGCATCTGAAAACATCCTTTATACATCATTCCAAAGCTCAAACATCCAAGTGTATGTACAAGAATGAAAAACTTATTTTTGAGTGGAGGGGAACTGAGTGGAGTGTTTGAGGGCATGAATGATTATTTTCATGGCGTGAATTAGTAATTACACAGCTTGAATTTAATTTCAGAAAATAATAACTTGAGGACATAAAATTAATAATTTGATGGATAGAATTAGTAATTCAAGGTAACAAATTAAAGGGAGGCTTCAAGTAAGAAGTCCTGTTTATATTCACTGTATCCTCAAGGTCTAACGGACATGTTAAATCTACTTCCTTCCAGAAAATATTTTCAAAGATGAATTTTGAAAAAATTACAGCCTTCTTCTTTCTTGTGTTTGTTGGCAAATTGCACATTACCACCACTGAATGTCGCTCAGCAAAAAACAACAAATTGCCTGCGCACTCATCTCATCAAAATATTGCTCCATAGCACCACTAGTGCCGAGGAAACCTGTACGCAATTTGAGTGCACCAAACATTTTTCATTATTTGAGACCAGATGGCATTTCTCATTTGATGTTATGATTATAACATTTCTGCTAATTCAGATTTTCATTAAGTCAATGTGAAAACGTTTTGCGGTATCATATTAGACAGTTAACAGAAGGTAAACAGTAAAGTTGAGGTTATGATCATTATTGTTAAAGATGGTATCTGACTGTCTTTCTGAATCTCAGTGCACCTGTCGCCATCCTGTAACTCTTTCCCTCATCGGTTTTTCTCCTCAGATGTACATCCAGACGGCCACACTGACCGTCTCCCTCAGCCTCAGCGCCTCTGTCTCTCTGGGCATGCTCTACATGCCGAAGGTCTACATCATCATCTTCCACCCCGAGCAGAATGTCCCCAAACGCAAACGCAGTTTCAAGGCCATTGTCACTGCCGCAACCATGACCAGCAAGCTGTCGCAGCTGGCGGCTGAGCGGCCCAACGGCGAGGTGAAGACAGAGCTGTGCGAGGGTGTGGAGGCCAGCGGTGAGTTGGGACGGGCTTGTTACCATGTTCTAGTATGGTGCAACCAGGTCTCTGAAATCCGAACAGTAATTTAGTTTAGTTTAGTAAATTTAACATAATTTTATTATAGTAATTAAAATCAGTATATGAGTTATCTCAACAAAGTTACAAAGCGCTCCACAGGAAAAATGTAAGACAACAATAAAGAAAAGGCAGGACTTACAGGTATACACTGGCACTGCACTTACAGTTCTGGCAGGGCAGAAAATTGACAAAAAGACTAGGAAAGATGGTGTCTTATCACAGTGCATTGATCCATTCTACCTCAGATGTTTGTCCATGGATATTACATGGCTGTATGCTTGATCTGATGAGAGTGCTGGAGGCAGCTGAACTGATGAGAATGGGTGTCCATATACTTTTGGCCATATAGTGTATTTCTGTAGGAAATAAGAGGATTTTGAGGGACTGCTATTTTAAGATACCTTAAAGGACTTTACAGTCAGCCAGCAAGTACTGATAAACAAGAAAAAGACAGTTTATAGTAAATACTGTTAATTATTTTCTGAACAAAGGTACTAAAAGAAGAAGGGTGTCAATTTCTCTGTTAAGTCTACAACGTGGAGATGAAGGTAGACTCGGAGTGAAGCCTTTCTGCAGTAATGAGGATTTAACAGGAAGTTGACTTGAGTTTCTTTAGATGTCATCTGAGACCAGATATGATGAAGCTGAACTGTTTACAGCTCAGAGTTATACTTCAAAGCTACTTCTTGGTCCGTCAGCAGAAAAGTGGGAGTCGGATTGTTTACTCATCAGAGACTGAACTGATCTGCTTAATCTAACAAGCAGCAGCTCTCACATCAGTTTTACTTTTGCAACCTTACACGAGGCAGAACTTCCTCTTTAATCCTGCAGAGTGTTCAGTGTGAGGCAAATAAGTCACCAAGGATCAAAATATGAGATGCTTGTGAGTCCTTATTTACTCCTGCTGGATATTTTACCTTTACCTTTAATATCAGAATCAGAATCAGAAATACTTTATTGATCCCCAGGGGAAATTTGTTAAATAATAATATGGTTCATTCATTCACACATTCAGCCACAGTTTTCCTGCTTTTCCACCATGTTACACCTTAACTCGACCCTACATGCTCTCTTTTGGTATTACGTTTTAGATAATACTTGGTGCTTTTTTGCGACATATCAAAAAAAGCATCCCTTCATATCTTCTGTTATAAGAATAGCAGCTCTTTTAGTGTGCGTAGTTTGGATGAGCGAAAGAGAAAGAGAGAGAGAAGGAGTGGTGAATGTGAAAGAGAGAGGAAAAGTTGAGAAGTGAAGCTGTCAGACCAGCAGTTGATGTACAGTGTAGGTTACAATTTCGATTGGGAAACAGAATACTGCCTTGTGTCATCGGTTATGGTGTCATAAGACTGTGGGGAATATTTTCTGACCACACATAAGGCCCCTATTATCAACTGAGCATAATTTTATCACCACAGCCCACTTGAGTATTGTTGCCAACCATGTGCATCACTTTAGAGCCATAGTCTACCCACTCTATATCTATCTGAACACAATCCTATAAAAGTCAAGGAGATTTCAAAGTACTTGGTGATGTCTGGACCGCTGACTCCAGATTAGCTGTGATATCTCCAGGGCCTCTCCTCAGTCGTTGTGTGCAAGATTTACAGCCTGGTTATTCTATAGCCTTGCTTCATGTTTTCAGTTGATGTGGAAAGCCTATACATAAACAGTAAGGCAACCAAGGGCTTTCATATCACCTGCATGTCACAGCCCCAGGCTATGCAAAGATCTGTATGGCTGAATGGAAAGTGTCTGTGTTCACAAAGTGTCCAAAACTACCCCGGAGGTACCTTAATGACATCTGGGGGAACTTCTTTGCAGGAGGAGATCAATGAATTTGTTCACGTTCTAAACAGCTAATATGGTCCCACAGCATATGTACCATCTTAGCCTTAGCTGAACTATAAGAAACATAATTGATTCTGGTAGCTGCCACCTATTTAGCCATGTCTTAGGGTGACCTTCCAGTTCTTTTGAAGAAAAATAAACGTTGAGACTCCTCCAGGCCAGATTGCGCCCTGCTCAGCCTTGGGGAACTTTGTCTCACTAAGATTGATTTTAAGTTCAGTGGCCAGTATTATCTGCAGGTCAAGGGGGTGGTGATGTGGGAACGGTTTACCCCAGCCTATGAAAATATCTGGATGAATGAAATAGGTCCCTTTTCCCTGAGTCTGAAACTCCTTTCCCAGTAGCTCTAATACATTGGTGATTTCTTTGGAATATGGCCTCATTCCCAGGAGTTCAGCTAATTTGATTGGTCCACCCCACTTACATGCCTTTCCTAGACGTGAGCACTTTCAAGGGCATGGGACCCCTAAAGGGTTGATGATGCACTGAAGTTGCACACGCTCACATGACACCTGAACCATCATTATTTGCTCCAGGTGCAGTTGAATGACATGAAATGATGAATGGATTGTACTTGTATAGCACTTAGTAGTAGTAGTCTTCTGACCACTTAAAGCACTTTTACACTATACATGTCGCATTCACACAGTGATGGCAACACTCATCATAAACAGAAATTAATCCATTCATTCACATTCACGCACAGCATCAGGGGCAATTTGGGGTTCAGTATCTTGCTCAAGGACACATCGACATGCAGCAGGAGGAGCCGGGGATCAAACCACCAACCTTCTGATTAGTGGACCGATTGTGCATGAATATTTGAGTTTAGATAACTTTTCATTAATCTTGTAGGTTGTTAACTCAATCAGCCTTTCTGCACAGCGAAAATATGAGTCTTTCCTGATGGGGATGCTAGATCTTTTAAGAATTGTTAGCCTAATGTTAGTTTGGATGCTCAGTAGCTCAGCTCTATATCATTCATTACTTGTAACTTCCTGGTTATCTGTTGACTGACCAGAAATCAGCTTTTGAACTTAACCTGCATAGGACTGCAGCGAGGTGAAAGCAGGGTGCCATTTTACCAAACTGCTGTTTGCTTTTCTCTCCTTAGTGCCACCAACAAAAAACACCTATGTCAGCTACACCAACCACGCCATGTGAAAAAATGATGCCTTTGACACGAGGACGTCCTGGGACATTTAACAAGCAGATTTCTGTCACACTCAAAGGAGACGTCACCAGAGCCCAAGACAAAAAGGAGGTGCTCTGAACAATCTGAAGGATCAGAACGAAGTCCTGACAAACTGAACCATTACATTTGTGGTATTTTTATGTTTACAGACACACAAACAGGGAACAGGCCCGAATGGCGCGAAAAAAGTCAAAATCATCCAAGAAACCATGAAAGCAGGAGGATGGTAACCTGAAAGACAAAAAAATCTATTAAAATAAGTCTTCAAAAAGAAATACAAAAAAAGTTATTGTTGGGACCAACCATATTTGTTGTTATTCTAATTGTACGTTTAAAAAAAAAACTTGTGGTTGTGAAAATTTCTGATTCTTGTCTCATGTCGTCCGTCCGTCGACCTACATTATGAGATGAGTCCGTCGCTGTTTTTGGCTAACTGAATGGTAGCTGTTGGTTGTGAAATGTCCAAATGCCATGGTTGAATTGAAGCATGCCCGTTTTTTATACAAATGATCTATTTATAATAAAGGAATGTTTCACAAGTCGGTGCCATGCTACAGTCTGTTTGAATAAGAGTACATAAGAACAACTGAAGAGAATGTACATTGTTGATGGTTGTTGGGATGTCGTTGATTTTCCAATCAAACAGCGGTTGTCTTTTCAGTAGAAACAAAGTGTTTGTGCTTCTTACTGTTGATTCTTCAGTGCGAGTACAAAGCAAGTTCGACATAGCCAGGCTTTCTTTGCCATAGCTGGTTCAACAAAACCGAAAACCCCAGTCAAAGATAAAGGGTATTACAACAGTGGTTATCATCTTTTTTTCTTAACCCAGGCTTTCATTCACAACATCATACACTACCTATTTGAGTTAAAGATAAATGTTTGTATGTGTGAATGGGACTGTGATATTAAATTCTAGGTTTTCCAAAATAACATTAACAAATTCATTAACAAATGTTAATGAAATGGCTGCTGGATGTTGTTGGGTAGCTAGCTAGCTGGTCAATATTTATTATTTATTGGCCAATTATTTTTCCCACCGGGGAAACCAGACCTATCACCAATCAGAGATCAGAATCAGAATCAGAAATACTTTAATAATCCCCGTGGGGAAATTACTAGATGTGAGTGTTGATACAGAGCCATGCCAGCACTAACTGAAAACATGTTAGCCAACCACCTTGCCACATGCTAGTGAGTAAGCTGGCCAGTTCAGTTGGCTACAGGACAATAATTTCATTAGTTAAATCAAGAGACATGTTTTATTTGTCTTTTTGGAGCAGCTTACTCCAGCAGTGCAGTGCTCAGAGCGGTGCAAGTAAACAGTTGGTATGAAACAGCTAATATGGTTGCTCCCTCCATTTTAGATGCCACAGTTCACCGTTTCCTTTAAAGGTCACATCTGTCAAAATAGTTTGCTGTTGGTCAACAGTGCAAATTTGCTTCTCAGAGTTCACTAAAGTTGAACCTGAAAACTCTGTACAAATTTACTTCTTCTATGTGAGCAAATCCACTGGATTGCAGAGATTCCATTGAAATTAACTGACTGCCGCTTTAATGTAAAGATGTGAGACAGATTGGGCTCACAGATACCTCCTGGTGGTTGTTGGTGCACACAACAGCTCCTGCACCATAGAATTAATAAGCAGATGACCATTCACTTTGGAGAAGTCTAGCCAAATGAAATAAGCAACCAGCGTAGATTACTGTAGATCCTCTTCACTCACTCCACTGGAGCTGCTGCAACATCTATGTTTGTCCATATAAAAGGAAGTGTTAAAATGTGAGTTCTGCTTTCACAAGAAATAATGATTTTTATTGTGTGAATAGAGGATGATAGATAGGATGTGACAGGAGAGATATGTTTGTTAAGGGGAAGAGAAGAAACGGGAGCAAATTCGACATGCTCCTACATGATGCGGCTGCAGAGCAGGAAATGAACAGAAACTCCATCCACTCTGGATTTGACCTTTAAGATCATGCAAACCTGAGTCTGGCAGGAAACTTAGCACAGTGTGTGCCTCATTACAGACTTTAAAAAAGACAAACAGTCAATGTGATCAATATGTGCTTTGGAACAGGAGAGGTCAGATCAATACACGCTGCCAGAGAGAACTCCTCATGCATGTAATGAATATTTCTGCATCTCTTGGCAGAGAAGAAGAAGAGGACAGGTATAGTCTGAGTGATGAAGCCTCTAGGCATCCTGCTTTTATTTCCCCCGACACAGCTCCCATTTCTCGCGCTCGCAGCCAGCTGAAAGAAAAGAACCTCAATCTTCACACTGAAATAAATACTGCTTATCTGAATTTCTCCACAGGTTTAGATTTTTCTGTTTGATCAGGTGTTTGCTGTCCTCAGGCTCAAGTGTTTAACAGTTTAACAGCTTTCAGGTAAGAGTTTGTAATTCCTGCTTCAGGACGTCTGTACTCATTACACTCCAACTGCGTCTAAAAGGTGGCTTTTATGTTTATCTGCCTATTCTTGTAACTGTTATTAACTTTTTTTAACATTAGACAACATTATACTGTTATATTGTGCACATAGTGTGCTTTCTAAAGGTGTCGAAAGTGAGTATAAGAAATCAAAAGACGCGGACGTGTTTTATCTTGATATTTGTAGAATACATTAAGACTACCCAGATGTCAGTTGTACTGTGTACTGTACACAACAAAAATTTGCTTAAATGTCATGCCACATATCTGTGTATGACTGGATAGGAGGAAGGGTCATTGACATTAAAACTGCAAATTAACATTTTGACACTTTGGTATGGATTAAACAAACAAGATATAAGAAATGAATGAATAAAGTTTTGGTGTTGGTAGGTGGATTTTGTAATCTCTGGACACGTCTAGGCAAGCTCTTTTCTACCTATTTTCAGTTTTTAGTTAAGCTAACCAGCTGCTGGCTCTAGCTTTATATTTGACAGATATGAGAGTGAACTCAGTTCTCACATTTCAGATAAAGTAGCAGCTGATAAATACTAACATTGTCTTTGAGAAGTGGGCCATTAACTGCAGGGTGACGTCTGTCCTGCTTATGTCTGTAAAACCTTTTTGATGCTGTTCCTAACACTCCTGAGTTACTGAGTTTGATGTTTCTTCCATTTTACATTTTATTTTTGACAAATCTTCCCTCACAAGTTGCAGAAATATCACATTGTACCATATTATTTTACTGATCCCACTGTGTGTTGTTTAATGGGAAGAGTTTGGCAGCTCCTGGTGAGTCAGAATGTGTCTGTATTTTCAAATTTATTAAAAAACACGATGAGGAGCTCAAACTGGAGGGAAAAAAACCTTCACTCCCTGAATATGTCTAAAAGAAAAAGGTTAAGAGGTTGTTTGTTAGGTCACATGATTGATTTGTTCAGTAAATTGGAACTAATGTAACGGCAACCACTGACCCTGACAGCTCTAAAACACAAGGGGCCAATTATGTCTTAACATAACCTTTTATGTCTTATAGAAATTTTGATTTTGGGACAGATCGATAACCTGTCAGAAATAATAGTAGGACTTACCAGGACATAATGATCCCCTCAGGATGAATTGTAATATTGCTGATCCCCTGATTTTTCATCTAGCACCACCATTAGATCAACATTTGAATTAGACCAAATACCATACTGACATTCCCATCCCATCAGCCTAAACTGTACGTTAGTGCTAATGACAAATGTTAACCCATGCTAACCCACCATCCTAAGTCGATTAACGTGGCAAACATTATACCCGCTAAGCATCAACATGTTAACATGATCATTGTGATTATGTTAGCATGCTGACTTTAGCATTTAGCTCACAGAGCCGATAGCATGGCTGCAGACTGTTAGTTTTATTTAAACTGGAGCTTCGAAGATTGACTTTTGTTTAGATTAAATATGTTTTACTGCTTTAATTTTACAGCAAAAGTTACGGCCCATGAGCCACTGTTAGTTGTTTTATGACACAATATATATAAAGAAAATTCATCTTTTGTTGTTCAAAACATAGGCCTACCAAAGCCTTGAACTTCTACACCACAACTGAGCTCAAGACAAGACACCAAGAAAAAGTCGCCCAGTGTGTAATCTGTTTCCTCCTGCAGGAGAAAAGGCATTACCTACTGTATCTGTTTACTTTATTCAGCAGCTGTCTGTTCTAAGAATAAGTAGACCCAACACTGACCCTTGTCGTGAACAAGTGGATGACTGAAGAATCTGTGGCCAGTGTGTCGCTAAGTGTTAAATCCATCCAGTAGTAATAATCAATAATAATCAGCAGTTCTTCTGTCTGCAGTGAGTGTCGGGCTCAGCCTGAGGGAGAACCATCTGAAACAGAAATGTGACAGACCGGTCTGAATCTGTTCCCACAGAGAAAGAATCAGCCGAGCAGGTTGGCAGAACACACTGGTTGTATTTATGAAGTGACTGCCAGGAAGTAATCAGCTCCAGGGTGGACACAGCCAAAATAATCAACAAAAGGAAAATTAAATTCTTCCCACTGAGGTGTCCAAAATAAGGATTTAAATAAGAAGACAGGCTGCACACACACCTACATTATTAGATACTGTAGGAGAAGATAAGGCACCAAAAAGTGAGACAGCAATTCTAAATCTGTAAACATTGTTAACATATGTGTATACTGTGTCCCGCCAAGTGTCAGACTTTTGGTTATATTGTGTGTATCACTGCCAGTTTCTGTGAGGTTCCCCCACACTTTTAAATGCTGTATTGTATCATAAATACTTTACTGTATTGGAAACACAACAATGTATATACTGATGGTCTGTCCTTTCTATTATATTTTTATTGTTTTTTTAGGCTGACATTATATGCTAAATCAGACTGGAAACAAACCCTTCTTTTCTTCAGAATTTGGATAGGGAGTGTTATAAAAGGTTGTAATCCAGAAATTATATCTACGACCTTCAAGGATCACAACATGGTTGCATGAGGTCCTCCAGAGACTCCACCATGACTCTGCATCAGAAAAATGGTTAGAGGACCAAGGTGCCACCAAAAAAATTGGTAAATAAATGATGGGCCACCAGTGTGCTGAGAAAAAATGTCTTGCTGATAGTGTGAGAGCAGAAAAGTTGCCTGATCCAGGACACAGCAGCCTCTCACAGCATGCTGTCAAGTTCCCCAGAACACTGAAAAATGTAGTGCCAAGAGTGTGTCATTTGCAATAAGCAGTGGCCACGGGGAAAGGATCCTAATAATCTGGTAATTTCAGATTTGGTCATTTCATTTTATGGTAGCCAGCTAAGCATTTATGAAAATTACATATTTGCAGTTAAACAGCACTAAAGTTAGTCACCATAAGATACTGGTTATATCAGAAAAACAAGTAGCTGAACAGTCATTAGACAGGGGATGGGAAACAAAAGATCAATACTTAATCAGACACACACATACTTAATAGAGGGTAAGATGGACTGCCGACAGTCCGTTTCCTCTCTGACTGATAACAGTGATTCCAGCAGGTTCAGCTTCTTCCTCTCAGCAACTTATCTCCAGTAAACCACTCTGACACCGACGGGAAATCCTGCAACATCAGCTTAATTGGCTCTCTGACAGACACACTGTAGTTTTTTTCTCATTACTAAGCACTTTCATCCAGCCGCTGTAGGTGGCCCCGGGGCCAATTACTCTGTGAGAGTTTACATTGTTTCAAAAAAATCTGCATTCTAAAGACAAAGAGGTTAGAGGGGCCGCACGTGAATTCAAACACTGAGGAAAAGCTTATTAGTTTCATACTGAAATGGCAGAACCAGGAATAATGTCCTGTCTAATCAGCTGGCATCAGTTCCAGCCAGGGGCTGCACTGAACGTAAATGTGCCCTTCAGTCAAACTAATATGAATATTAAATGGAATCTACTTGCCTGTGACAAACTTTTGTCAGTAAAATGTCAATGCTCTAATTTTGTTGCAATTGGTTTGTTTCGTCTTGACTTTGCTGGTTTAGTGTTGATTGAAAGAGCGTCCACAAAGGCTTGGCATTGGCGTTTTGCCTTTATAAGGCAGCACGACAAAAAGAAGACTTTCTGTCACCCCTACTTCCTCCCTTTTGTAAATAACATAAGTAGTAAATAAATAAATGTTATCGCCTCGCAGGTTGTAGTGGTCTGTCAAAGGTCTCCCTTCTCTCGGCAGAGTGAAACATTGCACATTTTTGTGCTTCGACTGTATATACCTACATCCTTTGCTGTGAGGGAAGTAGCTCATCTACTCTTCTGCCTTTTAAGTAATATTCAAAATTGTACAATACTGTGTGCAAACCCCCGATGAGAACACAGAAACACAAGGTTTGAAAAGGCGTGGAATACAGTATTCCTAAATGCTTTAAATATTTCCACAGCAGTGAAGCAGCAGCTGAGAAGAGAGATCTTCTATCAGCACCTCCAGACTGCTGATGAATGCAGGAATAATTTAATAATAAAAACGGATGCTCAGATACTGTCATCCTCAATAATCAATATTTATTGTAAAGTTCAAGTAATGCCAGCTTCGTCAGCTCTCATATTAAAAATATATGGTCGTTCTGTATTTTCCCCCGTTTTTCACAG